GATTGCGTTCTTCTTCTGTTTCAGCTGCTCTTTGTGCTTGCATTCTTTTAGCGGCAGAAGACTTTCCACAGAAAGGGTGTTTCTTTGGTGGCATAATCACCTGTATCACTAAACAATAATTTGCAATTCACAAAGTTACTAAATCACTTATGAAACCACTTAGCTCTATTTAAAGAAAACTGTTTTTGGAAATACTGAATTGACAGCAAGGTGATCTGAATGTCTCCCGCCATAATGCTTTCTATGTGCAAAACGTGCTTATGTTTGTATGTTTATTACAATAAAAATGGCGCAATAATCATTAATTGTCAATTTCATCATTAAATACTACACCAAATACAAAGTAAATAGCACCATTAAATCTCTTGTAAAAAAAACTGGTTATTATGAAGTTATTTTAAAATTTACAAGTTCAACCGATTGGTTTCCTATAGCGAACAAAATAAACAAACTTCCTCTTTCATATAGATAGATAGAATCTTTAAGATCTTGTTTTTGTCATCTTACGCCTTTTAATGAAGATGGGAACATTGACAGGAAAATAATATGATAGCCGACGCTCGGCGAGAGGTTTCGTTTATAAAATTTTGTTGTTGTTTTCGACTTGATTTTAACTTTATTACCTCGTCTCCATAGTTACTATTTGCAAATAGTCAATAATATTGTAGGTCCATTTGATTGTTGTTCTTTCTACGCGCCGTTATAACACATTTTCACCTCATCATTTAATTTCTATTGTGCATATATTGTTGTATGTTTATTACAATTTCGTCATTAAATACTACACCAAATATAAAATAAATAGCACCATTAAATTTCTTGTAAAAAATGGTTATTATGAAGTTATTTTAAGATTTGTAAGTTCAACCGTTTGGTTTCCTATAGCAAACAAAATAAACAAACTTCCTCTTTTATATATATAGATGATCTAGAACAGGAATTTTAGGCCTAATCAGATTACTCTCAATCCATTTGATATGATCCACTACAGGAATTTTAGGCTTACTCAGATTATTCACAAGTTTATATAATCTTAAACAGGAATTTTAGAACTAATCAGGTTATTCACAAGTTTATATAATATAAAAGACGAATTTTAGGCCTATTCAGATTATTACCAAGTTTATATAATCTAAAATAGAAATCTTAGGCCTAGTCAGATTTTTCACAAGTTTATATGATGTAAAACAAAACATTTAGGCCTAGCCAGGTTATTCACAAATCCATTTGATATGATCCAGTTATGAGAAACCGACATAAGTACTTTAATTATTAAGCTTTATTATTCAGTCGCTTCGATATATATATATATATAAAATTCTCCTGAAATTGTAGGTTTAAGCAACATTTTGCTATCCTTCCTTATACGATAAAACTAAATATATAAATAAATTTTTATTTATTTTTTTATCTTACACAGATTTTAGACAAACCTCAATTGGTTTTTCCAAGCGTATTCTATCGTCTGTATTGTTTACACGGCAATAACTCGTGCATTGAATTTCGTCTTTGAAATTTATTCATTCTTGAAGAATATGTTTTATTTATAGCAAAGTTGCATAGGGATATCTGCTATGTCCACTAAGAGGAATCGAACCCCTGATTTTAGTGTTGTAAATCGGTAGATTTACCACTGTTCCTTGAGGGATAATTCTAAATATCATTTATTTATACCAAACGTATTTTATACAAAATGGTTAATGAGCAAGTGCTTACTTATTTCCAATAATCATCTATATATTTTTAATGCGTTTTAACATGTCATTAATGAATAAATTTATGTGGATTTCAGGAATCAAAGTGTGGATTTCTTGTGTTACTGATGGCTGTTTATTGGATGACTGAAGCAATTCCACTTCCGGTTACGGGCCTACTTCCTATTGTGTTCTTACCATTGATGGGAATTATGGATACCGCTGCTACCTGTTATCCGTATATGAGAGTAAGCTCATATTTTAAAGATTTCTTTTACCATCTTTAACGACAGAAAATTTGCAGTCTCCTGTTTGTTTCTATATTATAAATCACGATAGTGGTTCATAATAAGGATCACAAGGAATTGCACAAAACCCTAATAGAACGTTCGGGGAAAAAACAAACTCTGTGCCATTGGGTGGCTTACGAAAAGTAAGGTTTTTTTGGAATATTTCCTAAATTATTTTTTCTCCTAGCGGTACCAAATAATATTAATTTCTATCGAACAACTACAAGCTTTCCGTACTAAAAAATAAACGTTTTATACGCAGTTCCGAATTACTTCATATTTAATAACATAGACAGTGACATTAAGTCTGTTTTCCTTGCCTCTGTGCTAGTTGTAATTTTTATTACCCTGTGTTTATTGTTTTTATGTTAAGTTTTATATTATTTTTACAGGATGCAATAATGATTGGATTGGGTGGAATCCTAGTGGCGATAGCTGTAGAACACTGCAACCTACACCAAAGAATTGCTTTGCGTGTTCTCCTAAGTGTTGGAACAACACCTAGATGGTATGTTACTCTGTCTGAGATGGTGAATAAGTAACAATCTTTTGTTTTTTGGGTTAAAGTAGTAAATATACTGCTGCTCATTTGTTTATATTCAGCACTAAGAAAACCACTGGTTTCATGTTCACTATTCTACAAATAAGACCACTGGTTTCATGTTCTCTGTCCTACAAATAAGACCACTGGTTTCATGTTCACTGTTCTACAAATAAGACCATGTTTCATGTGCACTGTCCTGCAAATAAGACCACTGGTTTCATGTTTTCTGTCCTACAAATAATACCGCTGGTCTCATGTTCTCTGTTCTACAAATAAGACCACTGGTTTCATGTTCACTGTTCTACAAATATGACCACTAGTTTTATGTTCACTATTCTACAAATAAGACCACTGGTTTCATGTTCACTGTTCTACAAATAAGAGAATTGGTCTCATGATCTATGTTCTACAAATAAGACCACTGGTTTCATGTTCACTGTTCTACAAATAAGACAATGGTTTCATCTTCACTGTTCTTCAAATAATAGCCCTGGTTTCATGTTAACTATTCTACAAATAAGACCACTGGTTTCATGTTCACTGTTCTACAAATAAGATAATTGGTCTCATGATCTCTGTTCTACAAATAAGACCACTGGTTTAATTATCTCTGTCTTAAGCAATAACAAGACTGCTGGGCGTATCTTCTCTGTCCTAAGTAATTAAAAGACCCTTAGTCTCATGTTCTGTGTCCTAAGTGTCTTGTTCTTTGGCCTAACCATTAAGACGGTCGCTGGTCTAATGTTGCATGTTCTAAGTCTCCTTTTCTATGTCCTAAGAAATAAGCAAACTGCTTGTGTCCTGTTCTATGCCCTTAGAAATAAGCAGGCTGCTGATGTCCTGTTCTATATCCTAAGAAATAAACAGGCTGCTGGTGTTTTGTTCTCTGTCCTAAGAAATAAGCAGGCTGCTGGAGTCCTGTTCTATATCCTAAGAAATCAGCAGGCTGCTGGTGTCCTGTTCTATATCCTAAGAAATAAGCAGGCTGCTGGTGTCTTGTTCTATATCCTAAGAAATAAGCAGGCTGCTGGTGTCTTGTTCTCTGTCCTAAGAAATAAGCAGGCTACTGGAGTCCTGTTCTCTGTCCTAAGAAATAAGCAGGCTGCTAGGAGTTCTGTTCTCTGTCCTAAGAAATAAGCGGGCTGCTGGTGTCTTGTTTTCTGTCCTAAAGAATAAGCAGGCTGCTGGTGTCTTATTCTCTGCCGTAAGCAATAAGAAAACTACTGGTGTCTTGTTCTCTGTCCTAAAGAATAAGAAGCTTGTTACTATCAGGTTCCATCTCATAAGAATTAAAAATACTACTGGACTCGTGCTCTGTGTCCTAAGTAATAAGAAGTTAGCAGTTTTCTTGTTTTTTTAAGGTAACAAGTAGACTTCTGCTAGCTTATGATGCATGATGTGTCCAACCCTTGCTTCTTCTTCTTTTGAGCTGCTCCGATCGAACAGTGAATTTGACTGTCATATAATAGCACTGAAAAGTCAAGCATGTTCGGCGATGGGATTCAAACCCCGCATTATACACAATTTAATAAGTATCATGATCGATATATGATGTGGCTCCCTCTATAGTCTGCACATTGTGTACAACTTGATAGTTATCAACATAAGTGTATTATGTGGCTCCCTCTATAGTCTGCACATTGTGTACAACTTGATAGTTATCAACATAAGTATATGATGTGGCTCCCTCTATAGGCTGCACATTGTATACAACTTGATAGTTATCAACATAAGTGTATTATGTGGCTCCCTCTATAGTCTGCACATTGTGTACAACTTGATAGTTATCAACATAAGTGTATTATGTGGCTCCCTCTATAGTCTGCACATTGTGTACAACTTGATAGTTATAAACATAAGCGTATTATGTGGCTCCCTCTATAGTCTGCACATTGTATGCAACTTGATAGTTATCAACATAAGTGTATTATGTGGCTCCCTCTATAGT